TTATACCTCTATTATCTTACACTTATCTAATTCTACTTTGCGAGAAATTGGTAAACGTGATTCTGTTGGAAAACTTTAGAAAAAGCTTTAAAAACTTTACTTGACTCCATTCATGCCCAACAAACTTTACTTACATGAAAGTTTCTTCAATTTCAAAATTGATCCCTCAAAAGATTTAAATGACAATCTTGACGTTTCAATAAATGGGTTCGAATTTGTGGTGAAAAGGTTTCTCATAAATACAAGGTTATTATTCTCTTGAATGTTATTCCTGGTAGTTATAAGAAAGTCAAGAATGCAATCAAATATGGGAGGGAAATCCTTACTATTGTCATCGATTCCTTAAAGAGTAAGGAAATGGAGATGAAAGTTGAGAGAAGCGAGGGAAAATAGGAGAGATTCACCAAATGACGGGTGTAACTCATTTTAGAGGTGGAACGATCGGGAAAGGTAGAGGAAATGCTATTGTAACACTGAATGTCCTTTTACATTATTATTGCACGTAAATACGATATCTACTCTAATGTCATATTTAATATTTAATTAATAAATTATTATTCTTGTGACTAATTATATTTTTAAGAGAATGTATCTTGACACATTAGATGATCCACATATTTATTAAACTTAACTTTAATACGCATATAATGTTAGTAGAATTTGGAGTAAATTATGAATTAATGCATTTATTTTATGTTAAAATCTTGTAGTATCTGGGGATCATGAAGATGGTCTCATTGTTCATAGTGGTCGTTCAAGGGGCAAGTCAAAATCTAATTTCAAAATTTGTAATAATTGCAAGAAAAAAGAGTACTTGGTAAACAATTGTTATAAGTTACAGAATAAGTCAAAGTTAACTACAAATCAACAATAAAAAACTTTAGGAGAAGCAAATATTGCAGAAAATTCTAGCAGCAATGTAGAGTTTATACTTATGTCTGACTAGAACTCCAAACCTGATGGGATTTGAATTTTTGATACGGCTTGCACTTTTCATACGTCACCCAATGAGGAATTGTTTTCACATATAAAGAAGTTTCAAAAGGTATTGTGATGATCAGAAATAATACATCTTGTCGGATAGCCAGTATTGGTGGGATTAGAGTAAGGATGTTTAATAGGATGGTTAGAACAATTGATGCAGTGAGAAGTTCCAGATTTGAAGAAAAATCTTATTTCTTTAAGTACTCTTGATTCAAAAGGGTACAAGTACACTGTTGAAGGTGGAGTTCTGAAAGTTATCAAAGGATCCTGTGTTGTGACGATGTGACATAGAAAATTCCATATATCTTGCAGGGTGATACATAATCTTCATATAATCTGAATATTTTAAGAATTCAGGTGGATTTAGAGTTGGCTTCTGTACCGCTATAGTCTAATTTGAGGTCTTCTTTTAAAAATACATCTCAGTTGAATTTTTAAGATCTGTGTAAATTCATCTTGCCACCATTATCGACGGTGTCATCGTATTTGATTACTAAAAATAGACCCATTTGAACCAATTTATTGAAAACGTCAAGATTGTCATCTAAATCTTTTGAGGAATCAATTTTGAAATTGAAGAAACTTCCAAATAAAAAAAGTTTGTTAGGCACGAATGGAGTCAAATAAAGTTTTTCAAGCTTTTTCTATAATTTTCCAATAGATCATGTTTACCAATTTTTCACAAAAAAGAACCAGATAAGTACAAGATAATAGAGGTGTAAGCAAGTTTGTCAAACTCCTTTTTCTGATCCTCAGTTACAGTATTAGAAGAAGTATTATCAATGACTTTCGAAACATTCTGTTGTACTAAAATTTCTTTCATCTTTTGTTGCCAAATAAAAAAATCACGTTTACCGTTAAAAATATCTAAGTCGAAACGGTGCACAGACATCTTAAGAAAAATACCGTTAAAAAAAGCTGGTCCCCATTTTTTAGTTGTATTGTTTGAAAAATGAAAATCATTTATTATCTCTTATAATCATAAATCATTCAAACTCTCCCCACTTCAATATTGGACCGAAAATGCATGTGTTATTATGAGTTTGATTTTGTTGTTTGATGATTCACTGCACTTTCCATTTACATAACTTTTTTAATATTGACCCGAACTTGCACTAATTCAAAGCATAATTTGTTTACAAATTTATAGGAAATAACTCCTTTTTGGTATAGCTTAATTTTATTTCTATTTCGTAGAAGTGATTATCGTAACATTGTTAGTCATATTAATGATTTTATATATTGCATAAATTAAAATAACATAATATAGAAGTAGTGTGACATACATTTAAAGATATTTAAATAATGAGTATGCTCAAGTTCCTAAATAAATAGCAATGATATAGGACTTGTGGCACATTTTCTCGACAGCTAGGGACATCTTGCGTACGTAATATATATGGTCAAGTGTATAAACGTGTTATCTTAATTGTCCTTGTATGAACTTGATGTTGAACTATTATGTTTTATATCATAAATATTTCATGCATATTTATATACACCAATTCATCCATAAGCATACATGAAGTTTCACGAAATAAATTTTTTTCAAATGTCATTAAGTCAAGTAATATTTTAGAAAGATATGTATCTCGAATGTTTTGTTACGAGCATGACCGGCCCTGGGAATTAAGAGGCCATAGATGACTAATCATTATGAGGCGCTTTGCCCATACATGCGTGTATAAATGTATGGTCAAGAGACTTGAACTACAACCTCCGTACTCTTGATATAGCATGTTGAACCAACTCATCTAGAAACTAAGTCATTAGGCGTGTAAAGGGGACAAACTTATTTGTTTAATTCGGGATTTTACCAAGAACAACATTGCTTTCCTCATATTTAAATCTTCAATAAAAGTAACTAAGGAATTATGATAAGTTCAAGATAAGACAAAACCAGCAATGAAAAACACCAAAGATTGAGCAAATAATTGGAGATATAGAGATGAAAAAAAGTACGAAAAATACCTCTTTATAATCAGTGACTAGGATTGCACTCCCAGTAAAGAGAACAATAGAAAGCAGCAGTGCTGATGGAAAGCAATTGCAAAATAATGACTTCCTCTTTGGGGACTCCATAATTTCATTTGCAAAAATCTGAAAGCATTATAAGAAGTCATCAGACCTAATTATCTCGGAATAATTTTTTCTGGGCCTTTCAGAAAAGTATCAAAGAATTCAGATTTTCGGTGAGATATTAACGAAAAATATGGATCGTCTCGTCGCAAACTCGCATAGGGAATAGAGAAATATTTTTGGGTGAAGAATGAAGATGATTCATTGATTGGAGTCTGGAGCAGGACGACTATTCCTTTCCTGAGTTTTCCTCTATTTAAAAAGAACACAAATTTTTTTTTTTTTTTTTATGGATAAGGGTGATTTTGGGCCTCTTTTTTGAGGCCCCTTGAAATATGAGGCCCAAGGCAATGGCCTTGTTTGCCTTGGGCCAGGGCCGGCCCTGGTTACGAGTTATATGTCTATGTCATGAATGTGTTACTCAAATAATTAATAAATCGTAACTAGGAGTGAAGATGAAGTTACCCAAATAATTAACTTTTAGAGGATATGGTTGGTAATTAGATTAAAGAAAACCAATGAAGCTTAATTAGTTAAACTTCAATATTGGACCGAAAATGCATGTGTTATTATGAGTTTGATTTTGTTGTTTGATGATTCACTGCACTTTCCATTTACGTAACTTTTTTAATATTGACCCGAACTTGCACTAATTCAAAGCATAATTTGTTTACAAATTTATAGGAAATAACTCCTACAAATAATCGTAACATTGTTAGTCATATTAATGATTTTATATATTGCATAAATTAAAATAACATAATATATGTGTCTCATTGATATATTTTAAAAAAAAATTAATGTGGTTGTTTGGTTTTAATCGACATAGAGATAATTGAGAATAACATAATATAGCATAAATTAAAATAACATAATATAGAAGTAGCGTGACATACATTTAAGATATTTGTATGTGATTAAATAAATAAATAATGTATATAGTACTCGTGGCACATCTTCTTTTGCTAGTCAATAGAATAAATAAATTATTAAGGATTTAAGGTAAGTAAATCTCCTCTCGTTTTCATGCATACGTCATATGGTCAAGTGTATAAATGTGTTATCTTAATGAATAACTCTACTCTGCCAGGCTTTGCATCACAGGTGTTTTACAGGCTCTCTCTCAATGGGGTGGGCCCCACGTGCAATAAAAAATGCCCAAAAAATACCCACCCCCTGAATGTGAGTAGCCTGGAACAACCCTGTGAGCCACCAGCCTGGTAATGTAGCAGGGCTCTATCTTAATTGTCCTTGTGTGAACACAATGCTCGATTATTATGTTTTATGTTATAATTGTTTCACGCATATTTATATATGTCAATGCATCCATAAACATATTTGAAGTTTCAAGAAATAATTTTTTTCAAATGTCAATAAGTCAAGTAATAATTTAGAAAGATATATATCTCAAATGTTTTTTTTAAGAGATAAATGTCAAATATCGTGAAGGTGTGACCGGGAAATGGAGGGTGGGAGACCAGTACACTCAACTAATGTTCAATATTAATGTTAATGTTAATCACTTTGTGATACTATTGGTAGATTTGATTAGGTTCTGAATAACATGACAATCACTTTGTGATACTATTGGTAGATTTGATTGGGTTCTGAATAACACGACCCACTGCATTCTGATTAGCTATAGGCGATATATCAAATGAGTTCACGACGTTAACATTTCTCTTTGTTGTTCCCAAACAGGTATATTAGAAACCTATGAGTAATTTCTCTTAAATTTAGACCTTGATATCATCATGTTAGGTCCACTTCGTTGTTCCCAAACAGGTACTCCCAGTATGGTTATTGTCAGATGGCTTAGAGAAAGGAATAGATATATACACAAATAGGAACTTCAGTTTTACCAACTGTAGAAGCATCTGCGACAAAAGCTCCTTACCTGAGAATCAGCTCCTGAAGATACCAGCACGTTAAGAATATTAGAGAAGGCAAGGCCAGTTATCCTTTTCTGATGAGCTTTGAGCTCGGCTTTGACCTGTTATAAAGGAAATGCAATGATAACATGGCTTGACTCATTAACATGTTGCTGCACGTGGAGGGGACTTGAATGTTGCCATTGTCTGTTGATAGAACAAAAATGTTATAACAAGCATGTTAAGAGTGTAACTTGTGTCTACCAAAGAGAATAAATTGATATAACATGTTACAACAAGCAAGTTAACAGAGTAAACAAATTGAGTGCAACTCGTGTCTACCAAAGAGAATTAATTGTTTGGTCCGGATCTTCCCAAATCAAACTCTTCCAATATGTTTCAACACATAATGAGATGATGAAACACTTTATGATTATACGCAAAACGGATAAAAGCAAGACATGAGCAGATCAAAACCCACTTACTTTGAAGGTAAACTATATTATATAAAGAGATTTTCCCTCCCGACGCCGATATAACATAAGCATCATTCTTGGACAGGGCAAAGCATGGCACCCTATCTTCAGGATTCATTCGATTAATATGATTGGTCATCAGTATCCTGCTACGAGGTTTCCAAAATTTAGGCATAGTATTTTCTCTTGCCTACAAGAAGTTGAACTGCATAAGAAGATGCTACTGGTGTTAATAAAAAAAAAAAATTGGGTAGCTTTCTAGTGTAATAGACCAATACCTCCCCTGTTGGGTTACCGTCAATTTTTGGCCATTTCGAGAGATTGTGTACAGAATTGGCATATAGAGCCAATATGGCATTTCCTGAATTGGTATAAATCAACCTTGACACCTGATAAATTGATAGAATAGAATTTAGAGGGCCTCACAGAGTCAGAGTAACAAACAGAAGCCATAAATTAAATGCTAGCAATCTCTCCATTGTCTTGCAAGTTCTTTAGATATATCTCAGGCTATGTTGGTGGCCAAAAAATTGATTGAAACTTGACTGGTGAAGTTTGTAGGGACACTTGATGTTGAAAATGGACCGGAATAAACTATATTCTCCAAATGTCAAAAATCTAGGAGTCAGAAACACAACTAACAAACTATTTAAGAAGTTGAATTAATGCTATCATAATTTCGCGTAAAAAGTTAATTCTTGTCTCTATTCACATAACCATGCTTATAAAGTATGAAGCAGGTTAAAGGAATAGATATAAGTTCAAACTGGTCAAATTAAATCCATTTGTAAGCCAATATCTATCTGGGCATTTTAAATGGTCGATGGGTGAGTTAATTATTACTTGTCGACGTTAAACTATCTGGAACTCTCAGGGAATGACACTGTGATCGTTCTTTCACTTCTGTCAGTTTCCAGATTATGGATTTCTCAGAGTGCTCCTCCGCAACTTTACTCTTCCCCTCTAACAAATCTCGGCTATCTCACTTTTAAGAAAATGAAAAAGAAACTGATCACGACGTGAACATAGAGTATTGCAAACTAATAAGTCATAGTAGTGCACACAAAAACTAATGTCATATGAAATATTATGCAATGCACGTATAAATAAGCAATATGCAAAATGCTTTTTAACCATTGTGCCAAAGAAATTAATCAGAGTTTCGGAAACTGAGATATCCTTCTTAAAAGTTTGAAAGCAGGATACCATTGAAACTGTGGATGTTGCTGGAGAAACTCGATCCTCAATGCTCGATCGAGTAGTGGCATTAACTCGACCCAAAAGCTGATTGGTTACGCACTTATGGTCCACAAACAGGGTAGGCTTAAGTTTCAGGTTCTTGTAGAGATGATGCTTCCACTTCAAGCTGCAAGCCAACACAGATGCACAGAGAGAGAGAGAGAGAGAGAGAGCGAGCGGGAGATGATGAGAGCGATGACATAACAAATGCTGCTGATGAGCAGGAGTACTTATAATTTGCATTAGATGTATTCCAATATTAGATATGATAAGTGCTAATTGCTATAGAACATGAACACGTTTAATATGGATTAGGACTTCGGATTTGCTGGGTTTTCGATATCTTGCGAAGATCGTATTTTAACTAGTCCCAACATCGGAATCCTTAGATTTAAGAAGGTACTTTTGCCAGCTCTTCATCAAATTCATACGGTTCTTTTTCAAAGTGCCAAGTCAAAGTGTTTGTCCCATCCTGACTGAGAGGGATAGAGAGAATTTTGTCCAAAATCAATAGGCAAAAAATCCCTTCCATTACGTTCCACATCCCATAGTCTAAGGCCTCCTCAAGCTCACACACATTCATTAATTCATTATGCCTATCAATGAAAAAGACGGTGGCCATGGAAGCCATAGGTCGCCAAAAATCGCATACCCTATTGTTTCCTACTCTCCCAACCAACCCATCTAGTAGCACTCCCCTGCCTCAACAAGCTTCTCCAAATGAAAGATGACCCTTTTGTTAAGTTGTGTAATTCAATTATTGTCGTTGCATGGAATCAGTACGCGGATCGACATTTGCAAAAAGTTTGTTATGGGGGACGGAAGAGGGTCAAGAAGCTCTCCTTCCGGGGGTGCGAGGGGCCCTAGATTAAAATTTCATTATGAATAATTTAAAAATTTGTGTCATTGTAAAATTTGATCTTACCCTATTTTGTCTTATAAATAGGGAGTCATCACTGTGTTACCATCATAAAAGAAAAATAGAGAAATTAGAGAAGATGAAGCCTTTTTGTGAGCTCCATTATTTCAAAACTCATTTTTCGACTTCATTTATTGACGCCTAGTTCCAATTCTCGACTTATATTAATTAGTCAGATTAAAGTGTCTGTGTCAATCGATAATCCGATAATATTCAACACTCTTTTTCAAGATATATCAAACCCACGTTTAACATGATCCGATCCTATTAGTCTAAATTCATATGAAAAACATGCATTCAATCATAAGATCATCACAAGCAATCGTATATGCCATAAATAGCATTCCAAATATCTATTGCCCCGTGTGTTAAGTATGCAATGTTTTACATATGTGAGTTTTCCAGCACTACAAATAAGCAACTTATATATCCCAATAGTGCACAAACATTAAAACAAATATAATTAATGCATATGAAATCACAAATACGAGAATTAACTAAAAAACAACAAGTTTCAAATTAAAAACTATAAATCAATATGTTTTGTCGTCCATCCGATACACAAAAGATTATCCTAGCATTGCTATATGAAACTAAGAAACTTGACGTGAAAATATCAATTGCTCGCTTGAAACTTGACCCCCAAAAGATGCAATCCTGCTTCATGAATGTAAAAATCTTTAATTTCTTGCTCAACTATAATAAAACCTTGGATCCCTTTGTTCCGGAAGAAATTTATAATTTACAAAACGTAGAAAGATTGCCTTCAATTTGTTACCAGAATGCAATAAGGAAAGATTTCTTTTTTCTTTTTGGAATTAGACCTAGGCGCTTGCCTAGTACAAACTGGTGCGCACCTGACCTTTTTAGGTAGCCTCAAACGAGGCGATTTTGGTCTGAGGTGCGCGCCGCTAAAACCGTCACTGCGTCGCTCGACCGAATCAAGCTCCTTATGCAGGTATTTTTTCAGTTTATTTTGATAATTTAGCAATTTTTGCAGTTATTGGTATAATTTCAATAATAATACAGTATTACTACTTCCTCTATTCTAATTATCTATCGCTTGATTTGTGCTGCAAGAAATTTTCGTCTGATTTATCAGTATTTTTCTTTTATTTCTAATTTTGTGAGTCGTAAATATGTTAATCTTTAGTATTTGTCTTTACTAGTAAGGTTGGTTTCAAAGTTTGGAACACACAACAGTTTCACATTACAATAAACAGGATTTTAACCTTTTATTTTCCATATAATCCTGTCTTGTAATTTAGAAATGCAATTACAGTTTTCAGGTTTAATTTAAAAACAAAAAATACTGGATATTAGAAAGTGGTAATGCACATTGTACATGATTCATTCTGGTCATCACCTTGGGGTATTTTTTTAATCATATGGACACAATATTTTCTTGATTGGAAATTAGGTTGGTGCAAGTGTTCATTTTCCATGCTTTCACAAGTCTGTGTGTGTCTACAAGTTTTATCATAATATAAGAAACCTGTACATTCTTATATGACTAGCAAATGAGGCTATAGTTTCTTTTAGAAGGGGCAAAATAAGGCAAGAATGTGGCTTCTCACGTTGCTTATTCTTCTCTCATTTTACATTGCATTGCAGACTCATAGGCTTAGATCTGGGCAAGAAGGTGTAAAGAAGGCAATAGGATTTATCGAGGTCTCCATGGTGTCTTTCTTGCCAATTGTCTTAGTTGTTTTCTTGCAAATGTTCATCATGCACTTTCATTAACACTGCTAAGTAACTGCATATTGAACCTAGAACCATAGGATGTGCAGACTGTGTTCACTGCTAATACATTTAAGGATATTCTTCTATTCTACCATGCTCACATATTATTTATTTCCAAATGTCTGGAAAAGCCCATTATTGTCCTGTTTTCTCCTTTTACATATACCGTAGTAGGTCATTTCTTGATGAGTTTCAGAACGATTCACGCTTTACTTTAGAGACTACATAGCTAAGCTATTTACCTTTAAGGGTAAATGAAACTTTTTATATTCTATTCATTCTTTAAGGGTGACCATCTACACTTAGCCAATGAGCGTTGTCTGTGCCATGTAATAAGCTGAAGTGTTATAAAATTGATATTATCTGCAAAATACTAATGGATAAAAGATTTACCATCCACACCTACAAAATTTTGCCATTGTGTTCCCATTCCTAAATAAGTAGAAAAATAGAAAAGCAGTGCTTATGCGAAGGAAAATTGCAAGGAAGAGAAGATGGAAGCTACCCGATTTGAAGAACCTCTGAAGCTAAAGCTTTCATGCATAGCGGAGTAAACAAGATGAAAAGTGGTTGTAGGCTATGAGCGGCCTTGAGACAAAAAGTGGGCAAGCTTATGGTTTCAAACTTTCAATATATAGACTAGTTATCACTGTATTTAACTGAAATCAGTTCCAGTATCCTTTAATCACGAAATTAAACTAACTCACTTACTGAGCTGGAGAAGATCTATAAGTCCGGTGCTGAGCTGAAATGGCTTGACTCATCATGTAACTCCTTAAGAAAACACAATTTTCGTACATATGTGCTGCATGTGCTCAAACCTAACTGCCTGTACCTGTCATATTTCTTTTCCTGGTTGTAATATGAGTGATCTGCTAGATTAGTTCATCATTTTCTGAACAGTCTTTTTCGTAGTTCGTAACATCACTGCCAAAGGTGTTGATGCAGCTGTTAAAGGGTAAAACAAGCCCTTCGAAGAGCATTGTTTCATTGTCCAAATATCCAGCTATTCTCTATTATCTTTCTTCATGCAACTTCTTTTTCTTCTTGGACATATTTTTTGACTCGTGGTTACTGTTAGGTGATTTCTTATTCAGTTGGTTGCATTTCATTTGGGTCAAATTTAAAGTCTTTTATTAGCTTCTCTTTCTGTACTTGATCATCAGCCGTTCTTGAATTGTTGTACTTTTACTCAATCCACAGTTCGCAAAATGCTGCTTCTATATTTTCGCCATATATTGTAAAATGATTCCAAATCCTTAACCTTCCGAATTTGTTTAGGCCTTCACATTAATTGGGAAGGAGGAAGGAATTAAGGGATACTGGAAAGGAAATCTTCCCCATGCATGCTGTTCCCTTTTCCTCTTGGTGTCAAGCAAGAGCTTCTTTCTGCAGTCATTCGATAATTCTAGATGTGGTTAAAGATGATTTTTTGTTCTTTTTTTCCCTTTAATACTCTAGGTGATATAGATTATACCTTATAGCGGGGCACAGCTTTTTGCCGATGAAACATACAAGGTGATGGTGAAACTATCTTCTGAAAGAAGTATAGCATCATATGACATTTGCATTTATATGACAAATTGATATTTCATTTTTCAGAAACTTTTTCGAGGAAGGGACGGGGCTCTTTCTGTAATTGGAAGATTAGCAGTAGGTGCTTGTGCTGGCATGACTTCAACTTTCATAAGTTACAAAAGAAATAGAGAGACTAAAAACTAGGTCTTGTCAGAGTACTTTTAGGGGTTGTTTGTTTTTTATTCTCAAAATCAATTCTCAAATCAATTCTCATTTTTAACCACACATTTTTCAATAAAATAATATTTTTCATGACATCAATAATTTTTTTTTTCTTTTTCAACCACACATTTCCCATCATATCACTATTCAAAATCAATTCTTCCACCAAAAATCCCTACCAAACAAACACTTAGTCTGTGGCCTCCATGCGAGTGTGTCTTTCATAGTGAACTTTCTTGGTGAGAGTTTTTCAATTAGTACTTTGTACCTAAGTGGTGCTAGAGGCACATAAGAACTTCTTGCGAACACACAGCAAAAACTTGATGTCCACAGTGTTATTCAGGATCACTACATTTCTCTCTTAGAACAAACGCGCAAAAACCAAGTTTATTTACTTTCATCAAATGTTTATATCTTCTGATATTTTGTCTTTGTAGGTTACATATCCTCTAGATTTCCTTTTGGTTAAGGTTGGCTATTGAACCTGGATATAAAACAATGTCAGAGGTAAAGCTATTTGATTTGTGCTAATTCGTAACACAAGGGCTTTTCACATTTGATAATGAGTTCTATGCATTCTTCTCAGGTTGCCTTGAAGATGTTGAGAGAGGAAGGAGTTGCGTCCTTTTATAATGGTTTAGGACCTTTCTCTTATTTGAATTGCTCCTTACATTACAGTCAATTTTTGCATTTTTGACTTGTGGATTACTCTTTTAGCAATTCTCCCAATTAGTTGCTACTTAGGTTTGAATAAGAGAACGTTTATAAGTGAATTTTTAAGTTTAGCCAAACATGCTCTAAGTCGAAAATATCTCATTCTGAATGCCAGGGTGAAGAAGGCTCTGCCTGAGAAACATCAAAATAGGTTGGAAACATCCATGGCAACAGCGTTGATCTCAGCCACAATAGCCACACTCACATGCTCTTCTGGACACGGTTAGGCGACAATGCAAATGAGGGGTACTCCTTATAAGACAATTTTGGATGCCATTCCAGGCAATATAATACTAAGCCCATTAACTATTTCATCAATTTATCAGTGAAGTCGAACATGGTAAACTTAAGGGTAATTAAGCAGTGACTAAAATATATCTCAGAAGTGGGAAAATTTACTTTAAACATGAGCTCCTGCACTAGTTTACACATTACAGACTACAGTAATAACGAACACTCTTACATGCCATCATTGTGACTTGCATCAGATAAGCACAAAGGCAGTCAGAGATAACAATTCTATTACAGTTTTGCCATTCAAAGTTGTTAGTTGTATATAGTCACAGATGAATGTGATGTAGTTAAATGAAATTGCAATCTCTGAGTTTCCAGCAAGAAGTTGCTAATCATTCAATATACAATGTGATTTAGGTATTGTGGCTTGTGATGGCTGGTTGGGATTCTGCGCGCGCGGGGGTGGGGGTGGGGGAGGGGAGGGGCGGTTCTTTCCTTTTGTTTGAAGGGATCTTTTAAAGTAAGTTTAGATTTTTTTGTGGTTAATAATTCCCTCTCCATTTTCTTCACAGCTGCACAGCTTAAGGCTTACAACCTTCGACTCTGTCAAGTGTCTGATTGCAGCCAGTGAGAAAGAACTTCAAAAAATCAGGGTGGAGAATCGTAAGAAACAAGATCAAACTACTGATTTCACTATCTAGATTATCATTGCCACAATATTATTATGAAATTTATCACACATTTTTTCTATCCTCACTTGTAGTTATTAAGCTAAAAGCATTTGTATAAAATGTGGGAATGAGTTCTTATTAGTCACCCTAGGGCTTTACTTTAAATTTTGTAAAACTGCATGGTGTAGTAGCAGAGTAATTAGTTCGAGTCACCATTGCAGATTCTTACATATACACTGTAGAAGGGACGGCTTAGGATTCAGTCCGGGTACGAAATTTAACTAAAAGCCTTTTTTTTAAATGTCAAATAAGACAAAAATATAATATTAAATCTCATACCTACCATTGTTCCTTATTAATTTTCATACTTTAGCTCCTGTTTGGTGCACATTTTGGAAGTAAGAATGCATTTTTACTGTTGATGTGATGGGGAATATGTGGTCGAAAAAGAAGGAAAAGTTATTGATATGATGGAAAATATTATTTTACTGAAAAATGTGTGGTTGAAAATTAGTAGAAGAATCAGAATGAAAAAAGTAATGTGGCTCAAATAGGAGCTTAATATGTCATATAATATTTTCATTATAGATTTCATTTTTAGTACATATTTTCAATATACATAACAAAATTGTCATTTTCCTACTACTTAATTTATTTACTACTTTTTAAGTTTATCGAATTATATAAAGGTACTTATCTACAGTCGAGCTCAATACATGCTACTTAAAAATTGAGTCACCAAATCAATATTTTTTTTCTTTTTTAATAATGTTCAATTGTTTTTCATGCTTAAAAATACCTAAAAGTACGGTGTGAAGAATATTTTGTTATAACTCTAATCAAACTAGTCAAATAAAATAAAATAAAAAATTAGAAAATAAATATTTGTCAAGTAGTAACAACTAAAAAGGGAAAAAAAAGTGAAACTTAGTGAACAAGTTTTTTTTTTTTTAATTAAAATAAATGTATAATGAGATAACGTAAAAAGAGAAAAGAAACACACAAAAAACAACAAAGAGGAAGTCAAATTAAAACTTGAAAAGAAATGACATAGAGGGGGAAGCAACTGAAAAGGGAAAGAGAGAATGCATCATTGTAATTATGTCTAGCCTTCATTTTAATTGTTAGTTATAACGAAATCAATTTCCTATTGTGGGGTCATTTATAATCGGTGTTCTAAAAAACTCGTCTAAGCCGCCTAGGCCCGAAGCTCGGGCAAGCATCACTCTGCGCTTAGACTTTTTTTTTTTTCCCATTCATAAACGATTGGTATTTTATGGGGAATTAGTTCTGTTGGCCAACCCTCAATATGTTTTGTCCAAAAGGCCTTTGACCAGATTCTTCAAAAGAAAATGAAATCTAATTATTTAAAAGTGTTAAAATACAACTTTACCCTTCTTTTATAAAAGAAATTTTTGAAGGTTCAAGGTTTTGAACCTTCAACCTCTATGGAAAAAAATGCTCCCCACACCACTACGACATTGAACAATATCATTTATCTATTACAATAGCCTGTATATAAATCTTGACAAATTTTATTCAAATTTATAAGGTTCAAGGATTTGAACCTTCAACCTTTATAAAAAAAGTTAATAAAAATCTTTTCCTCACCACTGGGACATTGAACAATATTGTTTATTTCATTGCAATAACCTATATATATCTTGAAAAATTATAGTCAAATTTTCAATGTTCAGGTATTTGAACCTTCAACCTCTAAGAAAAATTATACTTCCCTCACCACTAAAATATTGAACAATATTGTTTATTTTAATGCAATAACATATATATAACCTTATAGTTCTGAATATCTTGAAAAATTATAGTTAAATATTTCACTTTATTTTATATACGTATTATGTATTGAAAGATTAATTTTAATAAAGATGAATTGAATGTCTACAAAATTTATGATTTCGAAATATATAAATAATTAATGACAATTAACTTAAAATCATTAATTTTATTTCAAATAATTGTTTTTATATTTTTAAGTAATCATCCACCGGTCCAACCATTAAATTTTTTATTTTTTTTCCTTCATCCCCCACGCAAACTTTTTACGGCGTGCAAGATATACTTTTTATATACCTTAAAAAATATAATTGTCGTTTTATATACCCTAAAACGGTATATATGTCATTTTAATTAAGATTAAAATTAAAATGATATCAATGTCGCCAAAATTGTACGAAAACAATAATGACATCGTTATGTGTCAAATTCACGAAATAACATAACAACTTTCATATCGTTTTAATACAAATTTGACGAGTTCGAAATTGTTCCAATTCAAATCATAACTACAACACATAGATATTGTTTCTTTTCATAGAAAACGATAATTATATCGTACTGGTTAAAACAACGATTCGACCGTCGATTTAACGCATAACGACATCCAT